TAAAAGTTCCATTTTATTTTGTTTTGTTTTGTTTTGTTTTTGTTGCTTCTTTTAGTTTTTTGAAGACAGGGCCTTGCTACACAACCCAGGACAGCCTTGAATTTGTGATCCTCTTGCCTCAGCCTCCAAAATATTGAGATTACAGACATGCACCACTACCCCCACCTTTACTTTCCAGGTCTTTTGTTTGTTTGTAGGGGGCAGGAGGTTGAGACAGAGTCCCACTGTGTAGTTCAGACTGGCCTTAAACTCACAATGATCCTCCCGCCTCAGCCTCCCTAGTGGGGCGTATACCACCACACCCAGCTCCAGTTTTATTTTCAACAATATTTCCCACCTTCACTGACTAATAGCACTGTTCCTTTTACCTCTAATTTTCTGTTGCTTTTTTGGGGGGGTTGTTTGTTTATTTTAGGGGGGGTGGTACCAGGAATCAAACTCACAACCTCACATTTGCCAAGCAGGCACTGTGCCGCTGAGCTATATTCCTGGCCCATTTGGTTTGTTTTATTTTTTTGGTACCAGGAATCAAACTCAGGACATTATACTTGCTAGGCAGGCACTTGTGCCGCTGAGCTATACCCCCAGCCCTGCAGCACTAATTTTCTATGTGTGTGTTCCCCAGGCCTCTGTCCTGCTCTGATTGTCCTTCAACCACTACTGTGCTATCTCCTACACACATACACACTGTGTCTTGTTTGGGTTTGATTGTTTTTATTGGGGACTAAACCTACGGCCTCACACTGAACTATGTCCCCAGTCCTTTTTACTTTATATTTTGAGACAGGGTCTCACCAAGTTGCCCAGGTGAGCCTCAACCTTGCAATCCTCCTGCCTCAGCCTCCCCTAGTACTGGAATAACAGGCATGCAGCACCACACCTGGCTTGGAGAAAGACCAAAAGTTTGGCCTCCGTGTATGCGTGTGGGTGGCTGTGAGCAGAAGTGTGTGGGTGGCGTGGGCCTGGGGGAAACCGAGAGGGCAGCCCCTCGGAGGCCCCGGGACCCACTGCCACTCCCTCTGGCCCAGCTCTTCCTCCTGGAGGAGATGCGGGAACGGAAGTTCGATGGCTTTGCCCGAACCATCCAGAAGGCGTGGAGGCACCACGTGGCAGTGCGCAAGTACGAGGAGATGCGGCAGGAAGGTGAGAGGCCGGGGGTGGGCCGACCGTGCAGGCCACGCGCGGGAGCAGGGCAGGCCGTGACCTCTGCTCCCGCCCTTGCACGGACAGCCTCCAACATCCTGCTCAACAAGAAGGAGCGCAGGCGCAACAGCATCAACCGCAACTTCGTCGGGGACTACCTGGGGCTGGAGGAGCGGCCCGAGCTGCGCCAGTTCCTGGGCAAGAGGGAGCGGGTGGACTTTGCCGACACGGTCACCAAGTATGACCGCCGCTTCAAGGTGAGACGGCGGCAGGTGGGCGCATCTGAGCCCTGCGGCCAGCCTGGCACCAAAACCCTGGCGCCTCCCCCACAGATGAATCCTCTGGCCCTGATGGCCCCAGCACCTCGCAACACCCTCCTGCCCCAGGAACACACAGACCAGGTCTCACCCGGGCCAGACATCCTGTTCCCCGGGGTCACCCTTGCTTGATCCACATCACAGACACTGTCACCCAGCCCAGAATCCCGCCCTGCCCCCATCCCCACCTACGAGAACCCTGCAGGGCAGGTATACCCTCAGCACCCCTATACTCACACCTAGATGGATGCTTGTACCCTGCCAGGACAGTGTGAATGGACGCTGCCACCTGCCGCGCGTGTGTGTGTGTGTGTGTGTGTGTGTGTGTGTGTGTGTGTGTATGAGAGAGAGAGAAGAAGAGAAAGGAAGAGAGAGAGGGATAGGCACCTCCTCATCAGATCTGCTCAGCCTCAGATTCCAGGCACTGT